GCGCGACCTCCACGCATTCGGCAGACCAGCAGAGTTAGGAAGGGATAGGTGAAGAGCAGTTGCTACACAAAAAGCGGGGCAGTGAGAAAACACGCATGGTGTTATTTGTAGATCAGACTCTGATTGGCTGTTATGTTGTTGGCCTGTTTGAGCGTTAATCAAAATACGCTAGTAGGAAAAAGCCAGGGGCTACGCCTAGAGAACAAGGAATTGGCTAAATTGGAAGATTTAGACAATTTTTAGAGATCAATGAACGAAACCAGTTGTCCCCTGACTGTCAAATTATCGCACCTCTTTTGACAGAGTGTTTGGTGAGAAACGCAAAACACACTTCTGCATCATCGGTCGAAAACGAATGGCGATTGTAAACTACCTGAATAATTTCGACCATGTAGGTTGTACTCTCCGGCACAAAGGTGTTGCAGACAAATATGCCGAAGCTAAAGACCACGCCGAACTCGTAGTCCAGTAGGTAGCCCATAAACGTTGGTCCTAGAGGAAAAAATGAGAAAAAGAATGAATACAAAGCGCTGTAGTGCATCAGTGAGAGCGATACGCGAGAGATCAGGAAGGAGGCTATCTATTGGACACCCAAACCGACCAATCAAAAGCCTGGATGTCCAGACGGCTGAGCACTATTGCTGTGACCGTCGTTTAAAAAACAATAGGCGCGTGGATGCATGCAGGCAAAAGTCCTAACCACTTCACCGATGCTCATTCCAACCCAAAATTACACTAACAATGAAACAACCGAGTCGAGTAAATTGGCGCTCAAATTATGTCCTCATACCACAGAGGACATAGAGGAGGTAAGAGAAGAGACTGAAGAAGATTCTGTCACAATTGGCGACTTCGCGTAGGCCGCTCAGTTGACAGATGTCCTCACATAATCGACAATCTATAAATAACAACAGAAAGTGAGATTCTCTACGTTTAGTTCTATAAGTAGCTAGTGGCAAATATTTTCAATTAACAGGATATTTAGGGACGACTACTTCAATCACAATGAGTAGTGTGTGCTCAGAACAAACGAATACAGGTTCGAAAATAATGATAGTAAACTCACATAACCGAGTCGATCCAAACATGCGCGCGGTAACCAGGGTTAGGAACGGTGCCAGCCAAACCAGGTAGAATACAACCATCAACTAGGAAACAAGCAAAAGACGTGATGAAGGCATGATTCGCGACATCACAGGTCAAGGGACTGTCATTTTTTGTTTTGTGGTGCAGACCGCAGGCATTCTAATCGCAACCAACCACCAGCCATTTCGACCAATTTTCGGATAAATGTTACTTAAACACACTGCATTTTGCTGAGGAGAAAAATAATTTATTTTCCTGAGGGAAGCATGAACGCCCATTCATTCAATGATTCATTCAAACATGACAATCTGGTGAAAAAAGAAAGTTGCTTTTGTTCTTTGCATTAAAATCCAACATTGCGTAAGGAAGAAATGGATTTTAATTAATGGTTTATCTTCCGCTTTGTCAACTGACGGTCCACAGTCCATCCGATTCCTTCAATGCTCCTCGCCCAATAGGAACGACAGCCGCGTTATCACTAATATCATTGGCGGACAGCTAACCAATCACAGGTTTGTGAGATGCAAATCGCGCGCGCTGATTGGTTGTACTGGGTGAGATACTTTCAACTTCAAGCAGAACCCAAACATTGGGTAACCGCCAACATATTTTGAATTTTGCGTTCCGTGGCTGCAAAAACAATCCACAAGGGTTAGGTATCAACCCAGTTTCCGTCGACTTTTAACACAATTAAGGCGGTTCATGAGAGATTGAATTAGCCCTAGACACTGTCGGAATGCGGCCATTTGGCCAGGACCCAGGGAATAGAGCAAAACGACTTCGTCACAGGAATTCCAAGTTACCTTGGACACACGATCACCACGTCTTTATGGAAGGCGAGCAGTAATCTTGCCGGACTCCCTCAGCATGTAAATCGACTAGTTTTGTTGTCTTGTAGGGCTTGATGTGCCCATAGTTAGACTACATCTCTTCAACTACATTGCTCCAGCGGTGTCGGTGTCGGCTAAACCTGTGTCGTGGACACACACACCGTCGCATATAGTGACAGCGTCACGTAATGCAGCTGACGAAGTCGCAGTTATGTCCCACACAGAGAGAGACTAGAGTGGGGAGGGGGGGAAGAGAAACATCACCTACACCGGATGCTTGATCGCTGAGAAGAATGAAGCTCTGAACGCCACCAAAGTTCCACCGAGCTGTGCCGTCAAGTGTGAAGGACTGCCTGGCCGTGCGCACGTTGTGTTTCGTGTCCTAAAAACGCAACAATGCCACTCAGCCAACTCGCAATGCAGACCGCGGATACACT